AAGATGTCTTTTTAAATTCAGCAGAAAAATATTTATGAGAAGATATAAAGAATGTTTAAACGGCGCTGAATCCTTCCATTAGTACCTATTGCCGTTTTTAATATCGTTAAAATTTCCTACCATTTTCCACTGGAAATTATTATCAGTACTGTGCTTTTGCTGTGTAAGAATTTCCATTACACAGCGAATGAATTGCAAGTAGCATAATCTTCTAAATCCGGTAACACAGATAGGATTAAGGGACACGGTGTGACGATCAAAGAGATAAGATGTCTTCTGGCTTATACTCGAACTTCAATCATCTTCTTATTAGAAGGGAGAGAAGTCCTTGGATGCGTTCATAAAAACGAACCAAGGGGTGAACACGAAGACGAGACTAGAGACGTAATTATCGTTTGCCACTGTCGCGAGACAATTAACAATAACGAGGGCTCACTGGGAATTAACGCGGTCCTGTTAATTCTCCTTTACTCTTGTGTAGATGGAAGGTTACAATCAATTTGTAAAATCGCTGGCGCGAAAGGTGTTCCTGGTACGAACAATTCCGAAAGGGGGGTTATAATTTTCACTGAAAACTTTATCGATAGCAGTCCTTACTCAGAAAATTCCTCTCTTTTTTTTTTCTTTTCAAGTAGATTGATTGCCTTTGTGTATTTAAGAGATTATCTTACGTTTTTCACTATTATTTTTTAATCTAATGTGCATCAGAATGTAGGTCGAATGTGTTTCTAAAAGGATGCTTTAATTAAAAAGTACAATGCGTTTAATATTTAAAATTTTTTAAATATTTCTTAAATGGTCTTTCAAGAGTTCAGAAAATAAATGAACAATTGTACGGGAGGCAAGTATTGGCATACAAAGGGGTGACTTAAAGTTTTCATGCAAAGGGTTAATGACAATTAATGCGAAAAGCAATCGCAGATTCTCGTGAAACGAGGAACAAAGCGAACGAATTGTGTCCAATTTACACGGCGAATCATTCTATTTCCACGGGATAGTAATTGATTAACAGAAGGACTCAGGAGGACAGCATTTCATCGGCTTGCTTTACGGCCCATTACCCATCACGTTTATTCGCGTACCAGGAGGGATGAAGCGCAATATCCTGAGCAGATTGGGAAGCAACAGGGTGACCACCAATTCGACACCTTAATCTTAATCTCTGTCAGAAGAAGTATTCGCCTTCGTTGGATACCCATCTTCAATGGGAACGAAAGTCACATTTTAACATACTTTGAAATTCAAAGGAATATCAATTTTATTCTGAATATAAAAACAAGATATAAAGAATATAAAAATCAAACAAGATTCCTGTATCCTGAAGTTTCCTGTATCCATTCTTGAACTTTAGTTCTTAGTTTTCCATTTCTTGGTTCTTTGTAAATCCAAGGTACCGGCAGTTGTCGTAAAACGGAAATGGAAGCAGCAGCAACGAGTTTTCTTTCGCTTTTCCTTGGAAACAAATGCCGTCAAGCGAGAGGAAACGGTGGATACGAGACGATATATGATATCAAAGTCCTCTCTAACGTTAACAACCTACAACCAGATACCGTAACCCTTGGTCATCGGTTTTACGATCACGACGAGCCAAAGTATAAACGTCAAAAGAAAAATTGAGCTCGTGTATTTTCATTGGATGATGCTCGAAATATTCAAATTACAAATGTGTTCCGTGATACGTCCTATGGGAGACCTTAATGTAGTCATGTTTCCAAGGAAATGCAAGAGCAGAATCACTTTGAAGATGTAAGCTTGTGGAAAGTTTAATTAAAATACCATGTACTTCTCCATGTACAACTTATTTTTCACAAAAGACTATAGTGACTGATAAAATTATTAGGATACCTTGCTGAATTTATCATTTCTTTGCATTTCAAACAAAAATAAAGCTCCAATTAAATTTAATTCTTGATTAGTTACCTAATTAGCAGAGTAATTTTAATTAGAAAGCAATCTTATTCTTAATAAAAAATGACAAAAAACGAGTTAATTTATCTTGAAACCAGTACGCAATAATCTCATTAACTTTCTGTCCAATTAAAGTCTGAAATTTTTCAGCTTCTCGCTCGAATAACGAGTCAACTTGTTTCCTCTAATTATCAGTATAATTATAAAATATTCGCTCTACCAAGAAACTCAAGAGAACTCAAAAGCGAAGAAGAAGAAATTGCATGAAAAAATGGAAAAATTAAACGGGAAGAAGTTGGAAGATAGGTGTCTCATTTCAGTCGGGTCAAATTGTACACCTGAACATGATTATATACCGTCTGTAGATCGTGTCTTTGCGAAAAGTTCTGCTTCAGAGTCACACGTTATTTGTACCAGGACGCTTTGATATTTCCTTTTGAACTTTATCGATACGCCTCCGTTTCATCGGCTTCGGCGCCAGATGTTAGAAAACGTCAAAGAAAGTCACGGAAATCGGCTAGAATAACGTCAGGACAAAGGAAAGTAGCGGTTTGTAAGTCTATAGCAAGAGTTTCCCGCATCGAAATTCTATTTTCGTGTAGGGGAGGAAGGATACGACGTCGATGGCTGATTTACACTTTTTCCTCATCCCGTTTGCCAAAATTTAAAGAAAATCATTAAGAACGTTAAGGAACTACTCTGTACCTGTTCTTTAATGAAAATATTGTCTTTAAACGAGGCAGCAACGTGCTGGTCGGCGCACGTGGAAATCCAACTTAAAGGGGTTAGAACCGTCAGATTGTGCCCATGATCCACCATGGTCGTTTATTAATATCACATCCAACGGGATATACGGGTGTACCGCTTTGTATAAATTAGTGCAGCAGGCCGTGCTTAACAAGGTAAACCTGGCGTATTCCTGAAATACAATATCGAGTGCTAGCCAGCTTAACGAGGCCGCGTTTCTTTTTCTTTTTTTCCCTTTTCGTCTGTCCAACCCTACCCGCGCCTTCACTCATTTATGCGGTGTATAAATTTCTCAGGCATGTGTATATCAGTCTGATGTCCCTGTCACTTGTGTCTGTCAGGGCTTCATCAGGGAATCAGACACGTTAAGCACACAAGACACGTGCAATTGAATATCACTGTTCTATGTTACAGCTTAGGGTTGGAGTTAAACGACAAACCTGGAAATTACTGCTTAGCATCACAGCTCGGTGTTAGTGTTACAGTTGAACGTTCTGTTGTTTTATATTTGAGAGAGAATTTTAGGGAGGATAAAATACTCAATTTTAATATTTCAACAATTCTGATTCAAAGTATGATACACAGAATGACGAGGAATTGAATTGCCAGCTGGATACAGAATGCAAAATCTCTGATATCGTGCTTTAATGATGCGTAGGTGAATACAAAACGCAGTAAATTCAAATCAGGGCGCAATAAATAGCGAGGTAGGAACGATAAATCTCTGTTAATGTATTGTAGCCAGGCGAACGTAAAATATTGTGTGTGTTCACGAATAACATATTACCGTGTCAATTGCTGCTATCAGACAGAAATGTTCGAAGTATCATCGAGGGGATAAAAGTGGGCCTACAATTTTTTCATTGAGTGGGGGGAGGAAGTTAATGGGGGAATATTTTTTCCTCGATAGATAGCCAATGCTAAGGTCAACTGAAAGATAAAAAGAAGGTACAGTTATAAGAATCTATCCGTGCACAGTCTTACCTCAGGAGAGTTTCATTTTAGTATCAGTTACGAGGCTGAAGCGTTCCTCAGAGAGTTGAAACCCAGAGCGTCGCTTCTTTCGGATTTAAATTAGATCCGAGACGGCGCGTGGATCCTTTAGACGCGTCAAAGACACGCTCGCTTAGCATGCTTTCATCTGCATATTTTTCATTTTCCAATTTTCCTACCTTCCCGTCACACTCTGACGTGCTCGTCGTCGCTCAAAGAGCAGGCGTCATTGTTTTCCAGCAAGCTGTTCTTTCTAATCTTTCAAAGATTATTGCGTTAAACGTTTTTCACTTTGCCAACTGAAAGGAATACTCGACGAGTAGGAAAAAGGTATATATACCAGCGAGGATGAGCAAGCTTAATCATGTATTATTGTATTTAAAATTTAATGAACACGGCTGCACGAGTCTCTCATTAATATTCTTAATACAAAACGATTGATAATCAACTGCAGCAAACAATGGATCATAATGATTATTCGCTTTTGGCATTTATGTTCAAAGCTACTGGTAATTGACTGCAATATTTAAAGGAAGCGCTGCTAATGAGTGTACAGTAAGGCATTAATTTGATGAATTTCAGTTAATTTTCAATTAATTTTGGACCGTCCGCTGGACGCAAATAAGCAACCGTGATTAACTAAAATGCACAGTCGGATATCAGTCGAATAATTTTCGAATAAAAATTGCACGTATCAACCCTTTTATAAAATTGAAGAAGATGCAAAGTAAAATCATATCTTGAAAATTTTGATGAGTCGGTGAAAGCGTTTAGCAGTTTATCAACCGTATGATGCACTCACGATCTGTGAGGATGTAATACCTCCAAGAGGGATGTCGAAACGAGCTGCAATTTCAGTGAAAAATTCTGCTGGAAATCGTAAACGACATATAGGAGGTAATTTCGAAACGGTAGTTATGTCGTTCGTCGTGGTGCAGTGTATTAATTAAAGAAGAGAAAAAAAAAGATGGGTGGAAGTAGAGGGGAAAAAAGGAAAAGGAACAAGAAGAAACATACCGACTGATCGATATTGCTGCAACGACGCGAAACTTGGTGTACACGCAAGTGCGAGAGAAAAAATAGATGGAAATAGATGTTCGCGCGATAATTAGACGACAAGGTTGCCTTGAATAATCGTCGTAATTAGAATCGATTGCTGGTGATATAATCTTGGAAATCATTATACTTGTAATTTTTCAATTTCTTAATAATTAAATCGCTGATACGGGCGTAGGGATAATTATTATAACTACCCTTGGTAGGAAAAAAGAAAAATTAAAATCTTCAAGATGAGACTGTTGTGAGTGGAAGCAACAAGTGACAAGAATAAAAGGTGATTGATCATGTTTCAGGGTTCAAGAGACAGACGGTTCCTTCTTCGAAAGTTTCACCGCATTATCCTGGAAGCAGCAAAATCGAAGGCTGGTAGTTTTACAAGAGGTGGAGGCCAGAGCGAAGGAACCACCGCCCCCGTCCAGAGACAGCAGTTTGACATCATCTCAACCCTATCGTTTCAGCAAAAAGGAGGTAACTAAAACGATCAGCTTAAAAATGATTCCATTGAAAATGCTGGAACCACCGCTTGCTTGACGCGTCTAGATTTTCTACAGATCAAAAATGTCGGTCGTGAAATAAGAATCTGATGGAAGGAGGTAATTTCTAAAGTCAGGCCACGTTACGTTCACGTTCTAATAATTCTGAAAGTTCGTTACACGAAACGGAACGAGCAGAGGGGTTTCCAGTTTTTAGTGTTTGCACGGCATGCTCGTGCGAGTGAATGCAAAAGCTTGCAAGCATCCCTTATCGCTTAACGTGAGATAGAGTTGTTAACTACTTTCAGTCCACGTAATAGAAGTAGTTGCGCAGTCGAATTTAATCGCAACTGCACTTTAAACATTGCATTTTCATGTTTTCCAGCCAACTATGCAATTAGATTGAAAGGATACACAAACAAACTTCCTCCACAACAATAACTTTACACGTGTGATATTGACTGTAATAATTTAATTAATGCGAACGTAAACTAAAACAGTGTTGTCGAGGTATTCGCACATGCATCCAGGTGTTTACACCCGAAAGGAAATATCAATCTCTCGATTTGACCCGATGCGTGAACGCTCATTAATATCAACGTCAGACAGGTGGCGAGTATAGGAGCCCTTTGTTCGTACAATAGCACATTTTGTCATCTATCATAACGCATGCAGTATTCGTATATTGCATGCGAAATGGTAGTTACATTTTGCTTGAAACATTATGCGTGCAGATCAATCGAAATGACGGACAGTCGGTCTAATGATACGGCCAGTTCAGCGTTCATTTATCCTTCTCGTATCAGCGATTCTCCATTTTCTAATTACAGCTGGAAGGACTTGAAATACACGAAAGATAGATTTTTAGTAAAATTAATGAATTGGATTTTATATTGCTTCAATGTTGATACACTTATTATTATTTTTGTTGAAATTATTATTGAAACCAGATTCCGTGTAATAGAAGATATTAGAAATGGGTAATTGAATTCTATTCTTCTTCTAATCTAAAACATCAATAATTCCTACTGTGCAAAGTTTGATCAACTTTGATTGGTACGAGGTACGTGTTAAGAAACACTATAGTAGTACAATATTTGATCTGTCAATAAAATTGAATCAAAGCAGATGTATAAAGGACTATGTTGATCGAACGTATGTGTATAATAATTCACTTGCTATTTGTTTTCTGTCCTACACATTCTATTTGAAATGATCCTGCCTTTCACGAAAGGGACATCACGGGTGTGCAGATGGATTATGGGATTCTAAGTCGACATCCTCTGGATTACTCTCTCTGTCAAGCTCAAACTGAAATACAACTACGTGGAGTATGATGGATCACTTGTTTTCCTATAAATATGCAGAAATTCTACTCATACTTGGAAAATTTTCTATTTAATTGTTTGCTTAGTCTATGATAATTATTAATCTCACAGATATCATCCTAATAAGAGGCTTATTTTATAAGTAGAATTTTAAAGAAGTTCCTTAGTCCTAGGATTTTTTTAAATCATCATTTTTTATCTATTTTTATAATAAGAAGAAAAAATTTTGAAAGGGAGCAATAAAAAGCACGCCTCAGAACGGAAAGAATAATGGTGTATCCGTCTCAGCAAATGGTTCAGAGAAATCCCGTCGAATCGTCCAGAAAATCGCTCTACCTTCGTCTCAGACTTTTTCCCGGAGACACGAGACGAATTTCTCTCTTTTTTCCACTTTATTAGGGGTGGAAACGCGATCGTTTTCCGGTTATTATTTCCGCTCAGACTCTATTACGCGTTTCTTATCCGTGCCATGTCGAACGAGCCTGAACAACGAAGGGAATTTACTTAACGAGGACACAATAGGAGATATGAAAAATTCGATTAATTACAATTATACCATCTGCACCCCTAATTATTTAGAAACAAATTTTAATATTTTATTATAATTTACTGTAGATTATTAAAAGTCCATTTAAATAAATTATTCCAGTAACTTTGTTCGTTAATTTTAATTTATTTTAGTATACTGTATTAAAATATGAAACATTGGGAAGATAAATTTCCAGTAGATTGTGCCATTCATGGTCGGACAGAGAGTCGAAACGAGCATGCACGAGTTTCATCTCTCGTTCTCATATATTTTTGCACGTTTACCACACCTGGATCAACATTAATTCCACGTGTATCCGTTAACCTGTCCTCTTCGTTTTGCTGCTTTCTTTTCGCTGGTTTTATCTGCTAACGTTTTTATTTGATGACCATGTAAAAAAAAAAAAAAAAAAAAAAAGAAGCAGAGCAAAGGAACGTCTGTAAAAACAAATGAACGTTCGTTTGCTAGCAATTTGTATATGCGAAAAAGACTGCAGAATTCAGTGGCGCGTTTCCAATTAGCGTAAATTGAGAACCATTGGTAGGGAAGGTTTTTACTAAAATGCCACCCCGTAAGCTCTTGCCTTGTTATTTGTCTTTGATGCGTACAAATGTTTTCGTTGTGTAAATTAAAGTATATTGAAATTGCTAAAACATGCTGGTTGCAAAACGATGAAGTAATTAAATTTAATTTTTGCTCAATTCATGTGCTCGGATTGCAATTAAAATTTTTAATTAATTTTTATTATTAGTAATAAAACTAATATTACAAGTATTACAAGTTAACTTGTTAATTAGCAAAATGCAGCTGACATGGAATCAAATATTTTTAAGTACAGGTACAAAGGATTGAAAGAAATGAAAATTTTGTTTTAGTTGGAGCAATTGTACATAGAAGTCCTTTACACGATTGCCAACACGGTGGGAGCCAGTACAGGACAATACGCCCACTACAAAGAGGATCTTTACAGATATGCACAAGAGGCTTTTGAAGTTCCACAGGATCAACATCGACGATATTTGAATATTGCATCCGAGGAGAAGGTACTTCTTACCTTTCTATTGTATGTAATGCTCTTGTGATTTTCTTTGGTCGAAGGTTCATTTTGTCCTTTTGATCTATTGTCCAAGGATACAAATCCTTTTTGTCGTAATTTAATATCCTCCTCCCTGTAACTTGAACTTTGCAAGGTGTAATTGCTTATTTGTATATCTACTTCATTGTTTGATAACTAGATTATTTTCAAGATTAAAATTTCCCAGAAGATAACAAAGAAGATTGTTGAATTTAACATCGACTATTCATCTTTTAACAAAAGACATCTTATAACATTAAATGTTGTTTCAATTGAAAATGTAAACAGTGTTGTTACAAAAACCACTGTATAAAGTTTCATTTAGCTTTATTGGACAAACAAAGATTGAAGCTCTAAGCGATTTCATTCTTGATTGGCGAAGCGAAAGCAGAGCACCGAAGTCGAGGATGAAAATGAAGTCGTTGAGGCAAATTAATTAGGAACTATATTGCAGCAATTATTCTTCCCTTTTCAATAAGAATATACTCGATTGCTGGACCCTTTCCTTTATTTTCTAACTACGATTTTATATCACAAATAAATTTATCCGTAAATTTTCAGCCTCCCATCGTTGTCCTAAATGTGGTGGTCGTCGAGGCGGAAGGACTCGAGGCCAAAGATGCAAATGGTGAGGATTCTTTCAGATAGTGTATCTCCTTTTTGATTATGCCGTTTCATGGAACGTCGGTATACTTTTAACGAGTCGTTTGAAAGAAGCATAAATTTTCTATCGAACCGTATGATCTAACTAAAGTGACCTGTGCCATAAATTTCAATACGAGCACGATGAAAAGCGATGCATCTTCTTCGTTTCAATATCTCAGGCACTTTTCAGCGCTCCGGACTAAATAATTGCGAAGATGGTTTTGCGTTTAACCTGTCTCGGTGATGGTAAATGATCGATCCTGGCCGATGCATCGCGTATCAGCATCACGATGCATGTTTTATGGTCCATTTGGTGCAGGAAGTTTCCCTCTCGTTTTTATTTATTCATTCCAACTGAGGTTAAATTGCGTGGAAATATTTTTAAAAGTGACTGCAGTTGAAATTTTTAATTCAGGAATTAAATTAAAGGAGAAAAATTGATGAAAAAATTGCAATAATAAAACATTCGATAATTCTATTCCTATAATTTTTATTATAAATTCAAAACGCTTCCACGGATGTGAGAAATATAAACTGGGAGGGTAGAAGAATTTATTTCAAACAGATTTCAATGAGTTAAATTAAAGGAAAAAAATTGATACAAAAATTGCAATAATAAAACATTCGATAAATCTGTTCCTAAAATTTTTATTACGAATCCAAAACGCTTCCACAGATGCAAGAAATATAAACTGGGAAGGTAGAAGAATTTATTTCAATGAAATTATGTACATTTCCTTCAGGATTCAGCGATCCTTACTGTATGCTGGGAATTCAACCGGGCAACACAGGTGCACCATTGAGTCCACAGACGAATTTAACAGCCCATTCACCCCATACACCCCCTGCATCGCCCAGGCAGGCAACACGTGCTCTTTCTGACGGGGCTGAAACGGAAAATTCCCATCATGAGAAACTACGGAAGCATCATAGGTAAGTCGATAGTGTACGATAAAAATGATTATTTTATTCATCTCTTGATTAATCCTCCTACCGTTTGATCGATCGATCCTTCGAAGAAGCTGGAGGTTCCCTTGGCAGCCGAGTCGCGTTCTCTAGACACCAGTTTCCATGACATTTTCACAATGCTTGCCGATAACAATGAGCACTTGCCGGATGCGACAAGTTCTGTCCGCGACGCGACGGTTCGCGGCAGAATAAGGCCGCGGTGCATTGAGAGTCGCTTGTTGAACGTTTCTATCTCCCTTGACCATTGTTTTCTTCGGCACGGAGGCTGCGAGCCGGGTAATTTGCTCGCGAACGCTGGCAAACCAGATTCGACCACGCGTTGCCAATTGCCAGTTTATTTTTTTCTTTCCCACTGTCATTGAAAAAAAAGAAAAAACCTGCGATGCCTAATATGGAGGAGATGGTTAAAAAACGTATGGAGAAACTGTGAGGAAAATTTTTGGATAACTTTATTAATCAATTTATGAACGAAATAAAAAGTGACGTAACGTTCGAACGGTATTGTAAAGTTTAATAAGAGAAGGTAATAGAAACTTGTTATCGTAGTTGGTGGAAATCAGTTTCAGATTGTCGTTCAAGCGGAAAGAGCACACGAGCAGACGCGAGCATCGAGAATCCTTAAGCGGTGCGGTGCCGGCGAAGTTTATACGCGCGACCAGCGTGAAGCCGCACACGCTCAGCCCACGATGGAACGAGAAGTTTCGTTTGTAAGCAGCCACAAGTGTTCCCGTGGAACTAGTTTTCCCATTCTGGTTGACACGCAATCGGAAACGCGTTAGGCGAGAATTAAATGAAACCGACGTTATCCGTTCGTAACGTTTCTCTATTTCTACCTTTCAGCGACATCGACGACATCAACACGGACATTCTACACCTGGACATATGGTGAGTGGTGTCGTTTGATACGCTTCTCATATATGTGTGTCAAGTAGAGTAATGAAAAAATGATATGTAAAGCTTACATTATTAACATGATACTAACACTATCCGTAGTTTGAAGCGCCAGTCACTGGGAACTGTTATAGCAGTAATTATTAACAGAAGTTGTTATTTAGATAGAAAAATGTGTTCAGGTTTTCCTCACACTTTTATTCCGTTTTCACATACGTGTATTTTCCGCTCGGAAGTGTTTGCGTTGTTCTGACAGACATAGTTTCAGGGACCACGACGACGAGTCCTCGGTGTTTGACGCGGTTAGCAAGCTGAACGAAGTCCGCGGGGTCAAAGGACTCGGACGTTTCTTCAAGCAGATCGCTCAGAGCGCGAGATCCGGGGGTCAGGATGATTTTCTTGGTTGCGTGAATATTCCTCTTCAGGTATTCCACCCGATACAACGGTTGTTCCGGCTTTCAAAATTATACAATCTTCTTCGGTCTCGAAGCATGATGAAAGATCTTTCCTTTCAGGATATTCCTAGCACCGGTCTTGATCGATGGTACAAACTAGAGGCCAGAACGCAACGAAGCACTATTCAGGGTAGAATTAGATTAAAGCTACGGCTGTCAACGAGAGAAGACAGGGGAACGTCGGAGGAAGACAACTGGGGTGAACTGAGACAGCAGAAAAGACTTTACACGGTCTTTCTCAATCATGAAATGAATAAACAAGGGGTATGAGTTATTACTGAAGAAAATGCTTTTAAAAATCGTGACTCGTGTAACGTAGAGAATTCTCAAGGGGTTGAATAAAGGATTTTGTAATAACAGGTTTTTCTTTCTGTCATTTAGGAAGATTTCACAGGAGAATTGCCACAAACGGCACTAACGATTCTTCATCAACACGCCGTCCAAGGTGATGTCACGGAACTGCAACAAGCATTAGTTAAATGGGTAGCAACATCCAGGCAACCGACTTGCGATCCAAGGATCCTTCATCGCCTTCTTCAGGTTTGCCTTTTGATATTCGTTAAAAATAATTGCTCCTCTCGAATTTGTCTGACCCATGGGGAAATAATGAATCTTTAGGAACTAGACAACCTTTGGCACACGGACACCCTATCTCGAGACGAGGAGCAATGTCTTGCCGATTCTTTTAATGAATTTCTTGAAGTTACGTTGAAGAAAGTTCGACAGCATCGAGTACTCTTCCCACCGCTGCATCGATCATCCATTTCCAAACTGGATTATCTACTTAAGTGAGTGCTTTTTATCAAAAAAGACTTTGAACCTTGGATATTGATCTTCCATTATTCTTTTTAACAGTGCCTTTTGATTTAAGATCTTCAAGTTTATTTGTTAAAGAAACGTTTATTTATTTTTTTTACAGATGTTTAGGATTACTGTCAAACATGAAAGCTTTCCGAACCTGTTGCCCGTTCAACAAGGAAATTCGTGGAGAAATTATAACTGCCCTGAGAAAAGGAACTCTTGAATGGTCAGCAATTTATTCGATGCTTTCGCTCTTCTCCTCGTAGAGCTCAAAGAAACTTTTAATACACAATTTGTGTTCCCTTCAGGTACGAAGATACGAGGCAGCAGACAATGTGTTACGATAAGGAACCCGATCAGGATGCAGATAAAGTCTTGCAAGACTTTACGAACTTAGTAACTGCATTACTCGTAGACTTGGAACAGGGACTCACTTACTATAATAGCCTTTTCGAAAGGTAAACGCTTTAGCATCAAAATTTCATGTCTGAAATAAAATAGCATACTTTTCAGTAATTTTTTCAACATCATCACCGAGTGACTATAGGCACTCTTGTAAAATTCCGGAGAATTCAATACTATTATTTTATAATTTTTAATAATGGCATGTCACATTCTGTTACAGCACGAACGGCGTGCCATATTTCTCGGCAGTGTATAAACAATTGGACAAACTGGTAAGCAAACGACGCGAAAATTTCACCGTCCTAACAATCGAAATACATACGGGAGATATTATGAAAATATTCACTTGATAGTCCGCGATGATGCAAAATCAAAGCACACAATCATACGACACAACTATATTTTATTCACTGTTTCGCGAAGCTGGATGTGCTATGTTTGGCTTTACGCTTTATTGAAGACGTCGATCGTGTTTTTTTCTCCACTTTACTACTTAATTAAGGAAACGTTACGAATTCATAAACGTTTAATAAAAATTACCCCATCAGCGTACAATCGAGAATACAAAAATCATATCTGGAAAATATATTTAATAATTATTAATGATGATTCTGAATTCATTTCCGTAATTAGTTTCTTTAGTCATTTGCGAATTCGGTCGACGTCGTTGCATCGAAAGAACTGCAAAACATATTACTCTTTATGTATAGGGTGTTCCAATTAACACTTCGTGTGATAATTAAAATTAAGACTTCATTGTTCCATAATAAAATTGAGAAGGGACACCCTATAAATAAACAAATCGCAGTGACCTGAAGGCCAGGTTGAAGGAAGAACGGACGATGTTGAAGGCGAGTTTAAATGTGCGTCAGGTCATCGCGATCTTACTGTACACGAGATGTTTGTCCATAGCTGGCGGAACACGTGGTGAAACACATGGAGAACACATCCGAGGTACTTTTTCATCGCCACAACGAAATATTAAACCCTCTTTATTTTCTCTATCTTTCTTCTTCGATCTTCTTGTCTATGTGATACTGAATTGTCGTATCGAGACGCCCTGCTTTCATTTACGTATACACATTTTGGACGAGCAAATTATATGTAAAAATTCTTAAATCTGATTTGAAGAAAAAAAAGAAAATGAATAAATCTTCATTTTGTAATAAACGCAAATGAAACGAGGGATAGTCGATTAGCTGGTAGTTACTTGAAATTTCTTCCACACTAACGATTACTTGTAAATACTGGTTCCTGTGGATTTTGAAATTAGCGAAATTTAGAACTTCCTGAAAAAATCGTAGGGGATATTTAAACCCGATGGAAACGTACGAAATTTTATCTCGACAGCACACGATTGCTTAGAGTACATTTAGTGAAACGTATGTATTATGTGTAGCGTAGTTTTGTCAATAGTGCTTGATCGTTCAAAATGAACTGCAATTATGAATGAAAATCAATATTTCCATTATTGGTAATGATGCGAATGATCATTTTTTCGTTTTATTTTAAACACCTTAATCGAACCCTTTAAATGGTGCAATTTTTTTTTGGAAATACGCAATGTTCCCTGAAACGCTGAATACTCAAAGATTTAAAATACTATGTTGCTTCCACACTTGGCAGCTCTTTATTTCCAGCCGGTGCACGCCTTTCGTAGAACGTTTTCAACACATCACACGATTAGCATGCGATTTAGTGAACACTGCACCGAGAGAGAGAGAGATACATTAAAACCCATTGCATGTACACTAGTTGCTGCTGCATTAGTCTCTGATAAAAACGTAGGATCAGGGTCTCCGAAAGTTCTTTGTTAAGCTTGATCTCCTGTGTCCTGGCAATTTTTACGGATTAACTTTAAGTCTTGTCTACGTGAGTTAGGAGATAAAGACATAAGCTGAAATCGAAGTTTCCCAGTAATGATGGGAGGTAAAAGTAACGAAGTTCCTCGGTAGAAAATTAAATTGACGAATGGAAAGCTTTCATGGTTCTTGATTATTAAATTATAGCTAATAGTGTTTGTGGTTTTATTGAATGTTCATTGCAATTTTATAGAGAAACAAAGGGATGTCTTTCATAATGCAATATATCCCAAGTGCTCTTTTTATACTGAATTTATTAAAGAAGGAAGAGAAGTCAGTATAACAAAGGTTTCATTTCGAACGAAACATTCTTTGGAAGTTTTCAAAATAGATACGGACACCTTTCACAAGGATCATACGAGTCGACAGTTTTATTTAATCCCCCTTTTCATCTTTCGTGTCGGACAAAACGATAGAAACCTCGGAGGGCTGAGTACTGTCTATTCAAAGGCACCCTTTGCTGATTTTCCAATAGAATTCGGGGATGTGCAAAGGGACAAGCTCGATTTACTTCCAGCTCAATATGTCGTTCAGGGACGTCACAAGATATCAAGCTACATCGATTTCTATTTTTTTTTTTTGTTATACAGCAGTGTGCTTCTCGTACACCGCCAATTTAAACGTCCCTCCCCGATTAATCTTTCTTTCTGTAGGATCTCCACCACTTTTGTGCAAGTTTCTATGGCAAAGCAAGAGATTTGCAAATTTTTAGATGTGTCAAAGAGAAACCATAATAATTTCTTAATAATTTATTTCAATACTGATTCATAAAAAGTGGTGGAAATAGGGAAAAACTTATTTAAGGTGTGGTAACGTAGATCAATATTTGATCCGAAGAAATGCCTTTCATAGATGCAAAACGAGCTGGGAGCAAGAGTCACAACAGCTTGTCTTCAGCTTCATGGTCAGAACGGAGACGACGAGTACGTGCTACCCCCGGGAGCGGAGATAGGAACTCCGATGTTCGAGTTGTATTTGGCACTGCAAGACTTTATATTGTAAGGATCATTAAGAGAAATTGTTCAAAACTCTTTCTATTTAATAAGGAAGAGAGCAAGTACCTTATATTATGAAAGTTTGGTAATAAGGCAATAAGGAACACAATATTTTTTAGTATGAAGGAAAACCTGCCGCAGTCAGATCATAAAACTTTGGCGATTTGCAAGTATTACGAGTGGTTCCGACCAGCTGTCGACAAATGGTTGGATCTTGCTAAACTAAAAGCTATCCAACGTGTAAGGAAATCGGCTGAACTGGATCGAATATGCACCGGTGAATACATAGTGAAGCATTGTACGTCTGCTATTGATGTTACAGCCTGCTTCTATCAGGTAATACATAGACAGTGTCATACGACTGATGATATTAACTGACGATTGATTATTAGAATCGCCTATTTTAACACTGGATATATCGCTTGCAGATCAAAGAATTTTGGAAAAAGCTAGCCTGGCCTGATTTACCTGGATCTTACAACTTGGTCCTGAAAGTGGTCGATGTAAGTGATAGATATGCATTTAATTTACAATTGCCTGTGAATTCACTGTGTTTACAGGCAATATGCAGTTCAGCAGCTTACTATGCAGAAATTACACACCAGAAACTAGCTGACAGTGGATATTACGAGGAGCAAACGCCTTATAAGACAACAGACGAGGTAATCGCTCAGGTAGAGACCGCTTCGCATTTAGTTCACACAACACTGCTTTTGCAAAATAGTTGTAGCGAAATCGAGAACACATTTTACTGCAAAAGCAAACCGCAATTTTATTTTTTAAATTCGCTTGAAAGCTACTCCCTGCTTAGCGAAATTAATAGAATTAGATAACGATAGAATTAGAAAAGTGCTCTAAATAGTTTCTGAATAATTAAATCTTTAGTCTCGTTTCGTTAGCGACATTATGGTGTTGGATAATTCCACAGATGTGCGTGGCAATCAATGGACTCGAATACGTCCGGAGATGGCTTCTGGATTTAGGGGAGGAACTGCACGTCGAGAAGCTTTTGACAGCTTTGGAGTGTCAAGCCGGCGAATCAGCTCGGATGCAGTGGAGGACTGCTTTGACAACGCCACTTGAACAGACACCGGGACAAATGTTGCTGTTCATTAATCAGATCGTTTCAAGAATCGGCACGAAGGCCAGTACTGTTCGATACAAATATTTAATCGAATGAATAATTCAGTATCTTCAATTGGCGTTGTTCATTTGACTTACAGATGAGACCACCTTTGAAGAAGGCGATGTTCCATCTGGCTTGGTCACCGGACAGTTTACCCACTTCTGAGGCAATCGCACCTTTATTGGAATATTTAGATGTTCATTTGGTAGCGTTAAACTCCGCTCTCCTTGTGGTGAATTTCAATCGAGTCCTTCAGGACATCTGGGAGGTGGTGCTTGTAGAACTTAGTAATCAGATGGATGGGAACGCAGGTGTAAGTAGGATGAGATAATTATTTATGTAACTCCTTTATTATTTCCGTCTGCAATTTCATTTCAGGACAAACCAGCGATGTTTTACGAAAGACTCCACGAGGCACTGGATCTGTTGATCAAATTCTTCCACGCGGACGAGAAGGGTTTACCATACGATGCGCTTCATTGTCAGAGCTTTTTGAACGTCGAAGAACGACTACAGTACCATAAAATGGACACGACGTTCTTGATTGATCGATTTTATCGACAACGACTTCAGGTCTTCATTGGGAATCTATTTCTCTTTTATGGATTGTTAATTAGCAGTTTAGTTACGTTACTTTTCTTTGTAGGACCAATTGAACACCGTGGCTTCCGAGTACGGTGTTCTAACAGTGAGAGCGTATCTAAATCACGATTCCCTCTGTGTTGAAGTTATAAACGCCAGAGATGTGATACCATTAGATCCGAATGGTTTCAGTGATCCATTCGTCATCATCGAATTGCTACCACGAAGAGTGTTCGAGCATTGTGCCGAGCAGAGGACCAACGTGAAGAAAAAGACTCTGAACCCCATGTTCGACGAGTGTTTCGAATTGTTAGTTCTATTTCTATGATATCTCATTTTTGTTAATTACCTCGCGAAATATTTTACAATTAACAAATTTCTGAAACATCTTGGAGACGCCGCGTTCAAAAATAAAAAAAAATAAAAGAAAATTTCTCCTCAAATATTATGAAATTTTGTTAATAGCTCAGTAAGTGTCGAGCAATGCCGGAGTCCAGACGCTATGGTACTGTTCACGGTGATGGACCGTGATGTCCTCACGGCTGATGACTTCGCTGGCGAAGCATTCTTAGGGCTAAGCACCATACCAGGTGTGGCCGACACGAATGCGAGCATAGACAATTTCCATGGCCTCAAACACACCGAGCTGCCTCTTATGCAGCAAAAGAATCGAAGTAAGCGAATAGAATGAACCCTCGTTAACCAAGGAAGCAGGGATCTTTATGGAGCGTAAAATGATTTGAATAATGTATACGGTTAACGGTAAAAGAATTTTCTCCGTGAAGGGAGGATAATTAAATCTACAGGGAACTTTGTTAAGCGTTAATGCGATTTTTTCTGACAGTGAAACGGTGGTCAGTAATTGGATTTTCAGAGAATCTAGTTAGACGATAATGCAAGTTTCCTGAAACTATTTGGGTTTAATTGAAGAAGGAACTTTTTTTTTTTTATTGTGTATTTATCTGAGATGATATTTTATTTTTATTTTCAGGTCACCCGATTCTTCAAATTCTGGAGACGAGAGTCGGTGACAAAGTGGCCCTCGACTTCGTTAAGAAGCAGAAACAACGATTCGCATCGACGTAAAACGGGTCCATGGCTAATAGAGCACCGCGGAAACAAATCAGTTTTGTTCGTGATACATTAATATCGTATTGACTCTATTTATCGATCAATGGAAAAAAAAGGAAGTTAAGAGATTTATCCGCGGATAGCTCGTCGACTCTGTTCCCTGTTTGTCCTGAAATTCGCCACCTTTCTCAGTGTAAATCGTGTTGAATATAATCGGTGTTGGTAACTAAAGAAATTAACTAAGAAAAGTCAGAACAAGAGGGAATAATTATTAAACAATACAGAATCAGAAAGGATATAACTGAGGTAAAAAATGAGCATACACTGGCTTGCAATTATATTCAAACATCAAGATAATTAAGTAATTATTATCTATTTACAATTATATTAAAACATTTTTTTAATTAATGAAGATACAAATTTTAAAGGAAATACTGTTAGCTCTTCTGGTTCTGATAAGGTTTAATTAAATATCATGATGTATGAATATTAATGCGAACCACTATATATTCAAAACTATTTTTGTGTGGAAAGGAAAAGTCGCGAGGAGAGCAGTAAAAAAAAGGTTTAAATCTGTCAGCGTGATGTATTTAAAGATAAATGTTTAAAAAACAAAAACTCGTCGAGACCGTCGAAACTCGGAGCAATGCTAAACGGCCTGGAAAATGTTTTTCAAAAAAGGAGCACGAAGATCTTTCAAACTCGATACGTCCTTTTAAAATCGCTCCTTTTATTCTATTAAAAGGATTATATAAAATATGAACATTTATTTAGTAGATTTATTTTTTCTTCCAAATTACCGGTTTACGTTACGCATCGCGATGCAATCTGTACGTAAAAAATTGATCACCGATTCGCATTGCTTCGACGACTACAGATCAATTCCAGAGAGTCGATATACGATATTTTTCTTACTCGTCATTGGCTAAAATCTATTTCTATCTTTCCAACAAACTGTTCCCCAATTCTCTGACCATATAACAACGATACTTTCTTCTTATTCTGCACGACGGATTTCAATCGACCTTTACAAAAAAGAAAACTAAGGAAATCCATCGAAAGGACATAGAAAAGAAATGAAATATAATAAGGATATGAAAAATGAGTTCATAGACGAACGAATGATCTAATCTGTACGTAAAGACACGTCAGAGAAAGATAATTAATTAAACGATGTAATTTAATAATGTAAAGGTGATGAAAGTATCCCCTCGTGTTCTTGTCACAGGGATTCGGTGTGTTTTATTTCTTGCTCGTACAATCTGAATCGTTCTAGAGCTTTAATACGATCACTCGACACGTAGCGATCGAATCAATTTCAAGAAAGTGGACGAGTAGCTAAGAAAGCGTTGAAAAGTTTCAAAAATTATCCGAAGAGATTGTGTGTGTTGGTTTCTTTGATGTGGATCTTGAACAGAGATGGGATTTAAGTGTACTCCAAGAAAATTCGATTTCACTGAATTTTTTTAAACTAGGAATTGGATTAAATTTTTATCTAGATTGAGAAATATTTTAAGAAGCTCCATGTTTCTTTAGGTGATATCTTTAGCTTCTGATTCTTCAGTATTTGAATTCTATCAATTCGTGAAGATATATTTTCCTACCCCTAAATAAAATACCACCTCTTATGAGTAATTTTCAAATTCCACCAGCTGCAATTCGTTTTGGCAATTGATTTAAATCTCGATCCCATCTCTAATCTTGAAATTATTAACTCGTATGGAAGAATTATAAGAAGAGAAGCGATCGATGATGATGAAAATTGGCGACCAAAGTGAGGAACGAAATCTAATGCTGAATTACATAAACGCACACTCGTCAATTTTTCTATTGCACCCGGTATTCACACGCGTCTCATTTGCGTCTACAAATACACACACACATATACACATCTATACACATTGAAGGGAATGTAAAGTGAAAGAATTTCGCGATAATCGACAAACACATCTTTGTATTTCACTCGCCTTTGAAAAATGAAAATTATGTTCAAAAAAAAAAAAGAAAAAAGAAATCTAACAACGTGAAAGTGAATCTATAAATGAAAATGAAGAGAAGAGAAGGAAACGATGATCTCTTGAAATGTCGTCTATCCGATCCTCGGTATATCTCGTGCATCGAATCCAATCGAACTCTATTTGCTTTTTTCAACCTTTTACAATCACCAGAAACGTATGTACGATTTGTCTTGTATCGTAAGACGAATAAATTAATATAAATGTACGAAAAATCTACCCTCTTTTCATGGCTATTCGTTCTTTTCGTTTTGGATTTATTAGTTGATCTCTTTTGTTATCAAACATCAGCAAAAGGGTGTGTAACAAGAAATATGTAAAATTTTGTTTAAAAAGTTTCACTCAAACAATGACTGCGAAGGACTGTCAATCATCTGCGATTGATTAATACAAATCACACTCTCCTCTGTTCGTATTATCGGTTCACCATCCAATTTTTCTAAGAATGGTAAACGCCTTGCCACCTCTGACCTCCACTGTTCCACCTCCATACTTTCGTACAATGGATTTCCAACAAAGAGTAGATTCTGTAGATAAGCCAGTTCTTGGAGTCTGTTGAATTCGTTCCATTCCCTTACTAAATTGTTCGACATGTAGAGTACGCGAAGATTCCTCATCGAATTGATCCCCTTCATTTTCTCAATGAGATTGTACGAAATCCAAAGTTCCTGCAGGGTATCACCTAATGCTTCCAATCCGGAGAATCCTTTAATTAGATTGCGACCCACGGAGAGTATCGTTAAATTCTTCAAAGCGCCGATTCCTGTATAAAAAAGGAACATCAATTTAATATTTTTATTCGAAATTTGATCATTTCTTCCCTTCCCAAATTGCAATTAAAAATAGAAGATTGATGAAAGAAGACATCCACCTGCAATTTTCTCGATCATATTGGTCGACAAGGAAAGCCTCTCGCAATTAACTAAAGTCGTCAAGGCATTGTCCATCTTCTCTATGGGGGGCCACTGAAAGCTCAGGATAACTTCTTTAGCGGTGGAAGCTTCTTCTCCTTCCTCCTCTTCCCATCTTCGAATCGCTTCTTTACAGGTGGTCGGTTTCACGTTGCTCATATTCCCTAATCATAATCGAATTTCCATGCTCCTTCGCAAACCTGAAATATACTTTTATGAAAATCAATTTCCATCGAGGAAAAATCAAATCGCATAAAAAATTTACCCTATGGAATCAACGACATTATGATCTTATGTCAAAATTAATTATTCACCCTCGAAACGATTTCTTTTCCTCCTATTATCTGCTGGTCGAATATAAATTGCATCTCGTTGCAGCGTTTTCGGGGTGGCAGAAGATTCTTCTCCCTATTAAATTCCACATTGATTGGAATAATATCGTTTATTATCTTTCACCAGACCGTTCGAGGTTACAAGAATTCGACATTCGTATTCCTTCGTGGCAAACTGCCACAACTGGAGCCTGGTAATATCTGGCACCAATCAAAATAATCGATTCACATGGACGCATGCGTTTCGCGAGCGTTATTTATCAACGAAATGTCGCGGTCGGATTTACGACGGATATTAACATTGAAAATGTGCAGGTCTCCCGAAACTCGGATCGTATGCATCCGTTTTATATTTTCCTAATGTGATCAAACTTGTCTCAGAGTTTCATTACAAAAAAAAAAAAATGAAAAACAGTCTGATGCGAAGAAGATTGATCTTCGAAGTTGTTGAAGAACAAAGAGAAACGTAGACCAAGAACGACGTCGAATTATCTTTTCTTTATTATCACTGATGTACAATAATCCCCATGGGGATTAGAACCATTCGTATCCCAACGAGCGACAGTTCACTTATCTTACATTAAAACGTATCAGCTAAAGGACTCGTCCTTCTTAGTTTCTTTTCTTGCTTTCCCCAAAAGCCTCGCGACAACTAAATTAATGAACGGCTAATTAAATCATCTGGTATCTCTATCAATCCGAAGAGATGGCAGTATTGTCACGTCACGCACATTACAACGATGAAACACGATGATAACGTTACATTGGTAGTTGCTTTTTTTTTTTTTTTTCATTTAAGAACATCGATAAATTTATCTTGACAATAGCTAATCGTACGGGGACATCAAACGGGAGTATCGAAAAGGAAGTTGATTTATGTAACATTGTTCTTAACCCTTTCGCTATCATTGAGACTTAGAGGTATTTAATTAATTTTGAAGCATATAATAAATGCCTCTAAAGCGAAAGGGTTAAAAGTCTTCCTTTGTTTTCTTGTCATCGTTTCACGATCCGTTGTCATAAATCTATAATGTTCTTGTACGTACAAGGGTGATTCAAAAACAGATGAAATTTTTTCATTTTATTACGTGTATGAGGTACTTTAATAAAATTTTAACATTTTAACCTTCTTAAATGAATTTTTGAGGAAGTCCTCTTTTCATTTTACCAAAGGTATGTACTGCTTTAAAAGAGTGGCCATTCTGGGAACTTTCGGAATCACCCTCGTACCATAAACTTTCACGCTAACATTCTCTCTCGACATTCAGTAGAAAATAAGAAAAAAAAAAAATTGCGATCATAATACAAAACGAAAAAAAAAGAAAGTAAAACGAAATTGAGAAAGAAAAATTAATTAAAAGGAATAGAAGAACGGACAACATTGAAAATGGCTAAATGGCCAGTTAAAAATGAAACACAGTACGCAATATGTCGACACACACACGTTTCGTGGCTACATTGTTGTATTTCTCCGGTAAGACTTACATCGAGTTAGCTTAAATTACAAAAATACAGAAAGGCACTTGATGAGAATATCCCTTTCTCGCGAATGTCCTCGTCGAGGCGACGTTTCTACGGAAGAACAGCAACGACAACAATAACAACCGATGTTTAAAACGATAAATCTATTTTGCAAACCAAACGAATCGAGTTGTCACGATCTCCTTGTCCGGTTAAGGAAAATCGTTAGGAAAGGAACCATTCCCACTGAAACGTGCAACATTTCTTCGCATTTTCATCCCCTATTACGTTTACTCTGCTCTCTTTAGTTGAATACAGCGCTGTGAGGGAGCAATTCCATGGTCTGTGACTAGAAAAAGGTGTCCTTGTTGGATAATAGAGAAGATAGTTTCCTTTCTTTCCTTTATATTTAAAGCTTCTTTAATTTAATTCTCTGTCCTATATAGAATCCAATTGTAATAAAAGAAAGGAATAGAGAGACTATAGCATGGAGAAATTTAATTCTGAATCAACTGTAGGATTGTAAGAGATTATGTTGGATTCTGAGAAGACAATGGGTCTCTGTACTTTGTACAATAAATAGCTCGTTTAACCTTAGCACGATTGCATGGTCATTTTGACCCAGCTATAGAAATGAAATAACTAAAATATCGAAGGCTTCAAACTTGTATCTGCTAAAGTTTTAATTGCGGGTCAAAATGGCCATAACCAAGAATGTCCGTCTTCCGAGGGTTAATCTCACCCCTTAATAGACCGCTTAAATTGACATTCAATTTAATTAATCGCTCGTTCGTTTAATAGGATTTTTGTTTTAGTATTGTCATTGATTTAGTACCTCAGCATAGTGTTTCTTAATCACCAAACTAGATTCTTACAAAACACTGCACTCAGAAATGAAATTCTATAAAAATTAGAAAACTTAGATCAGTCTTAATGCGATCAAAATTTATAATTGAGCTTCATTACAGTAGCAATTTATATAACAAAAAAATATCTTCTAAAGTTTCTTTTAACCATACATAATTATTACATTTCTTCTTTTATATATGTTAATCTTCTAATTTGGCCCCTGAAAAGGTACACCATTGGAACCACTCACGTCACGGCACTGTTCAATTTTAAATATATATATATATATGTGTGCATTTATATGTATGTATACATAATTCGGATATACATAGGCGTAGAGATCGCTGAAAATAGAGAGTGGACAGTATATATGTGTGTGTATATATGTATATATATATATATTTCTTTATATTTCATATTTGTTCTTAAAACGTCCAAAAAAGAATATTCTTCTGAAGAGATATTACGATCGGTGTCTATCGTCATCATCATAATACCCGTTCTTTTGAGGAAAACACGCAAATTACAGTAACACGTCAATCCATTAACATACATCTACACAAAAACTAACGTGGACTTATTCTGATCGTAAATTAGGAATATATTAGTGTAGGTATGCACGTGTATATTTATAATGTATCAGTTCCTGTGGAAAATTTTGTCATTTATTACGTTGATTAAAAAAAAAAAAAAAATTGTAACAGTTTGAAGAACATTACCTTGAAGAATTTTTATTTATTGTAATTATTCGTAATGGAAGAAAATTGTCTTTTTAATATAATAGAGCTTATTTTGGTGATTAAAGGTCATCACGCAATCAAATTATTTCATTTTCATTAATCATCAGAAAAATGTGAAAGCTTTTCCACAGGATTTGATAACACATCTCGTATTTCTCATTTTATCTTACCTTTTCCATAAGCATACGTATCGTTAATCTTATCGTATATACAAGTTGGATTAAAAAGATTAAATTGGTCTTATTATACATTAACGACGTAACTTTAGTGGCCACTAGATTCATGCCATGGTCCAATTTAAATTCTTTCGTACCTGTCCTAGAATCAATTTAATTTCTTCGATTTAACTTTTGAATTAACCCTTTGATTATCATGAGATCGTTTTTTTAAATCAATTCGATTAAAAAATTTTAATTAACCCAAATATTCTGTATTACAGATTTATGGAATAATATAAATGTTACGATTAAATGAAATGAAAAGATCAAAGGATTAATCGAGCAACACATACGGTGTGAATTTCTTGATGAAATATAATTATCCTGATATTGATCACGAATGAATGAAGAATGAATCAACACGTATGATATTCACGAACTTATCCTTATTTATGTTAGTCATCGAGGAAGTTCTCGATCGAAGATTCTTAAACCCTAACATTAATCAAAATTCATGAAAGAAACAATGTTCGCGTTCGTTTTGATTAATTGGCACTTATATCGCACCTCGGTTTTGCCGTTTCCCAGCGTCACTTTTCAAGTATTCGCGTAGCAACGGGAGGAATGGCCACTTTAATTCACAATTCAGGGTAATTAATTTCGCTAGTTTAATTTATAACTGTTTCCTGCGTTTTCATATCGATACATACAGCCTTAAAAATGTATGGATTGCTTGCGAATGGAATATAGCTATATAAAATGATACCCGCCGATAAAATCGGTTAAATTCGCAAAATAAAACTGGCCATTCCTGCCACGATACAATTTAACCAGCCTTTATTTCATCAATATTTCCTCCAGTGTCTTCTGCTGGAAATATCTGAATTTGTCAGATGCTACGTGGAAAGAATCGCGCCCTTACAAATCTACCCTCAGGTACGTCGCGAGATCTTCCACTTTATTTAAAGCACGTGAAGATTCTCGCAATTTTTAAACTTGCTGTCCTCCTTCCCAAATAACCAGGTTAACATTTGCCTCGCCTTCATACTGGCCCGTACCACACCCCTAGATTTATACCAATGGCCGCTACCCTCGCTGGTACCGTTTCCTGTACGATTCTCGTTTCCTTGCACGTTCTTCAGACGTATCTGGTTAAGAATTCCGACCAGAAGGTTGTCCACGTTGTGGTTGATGCCGACCGAAATTTCAATGAATTTCACTCGATAGGTACACGCCATGCATTTTCCATCTGAGAACAATAAATGGATAAATTAGATAACGGGGGAGGAGAATCTTATGGGATGTCGTTCAGGATGATGGATAAGTTAATTTAACGATGATATAGTTGGAATATGTTATATAATTTTCGTGGTGGGATGGGGGTGGTTTACGTGTATACCCTAGTCAATTTATTTTTTTTTTTTTAAACAAATCAACTTTTCTTTATATTTTATAAAATCCCATTAACTCTCTGACAGCGAACGCTGAAATTTTATTTTAAATTCTATTCATTTTGAAGGAAATTTTTAATGAAGTTTATAATTGCCTTGTTAGTAATTATATATTTCTTTGAATATAGACTAACCTTGGGATGAGACTACCTTGGACCGAACCAGATCTACTTTGTTACCAACCAATATAGCCGGCTTCCCCTGAAGGAGATCCTGATCGTGAAGACGTTCGAGATACTCTTCTGCCCTTTGAAAGGACGCCTTATCGATCACAGAGTACATAATGATAAAAGCGTCCGGGTGTAGACTCTCCAGTTCCGACTTTTTGAAATAGAAAGGTAAAGTAGGTATTCTTAGCAACGTGGTGAATTCCATTAATAAATTAATCGAGTCGTTCATTCGCCAAACTCCACGAAACAAAAGAAAACAGAGAAATCGATGGAACAAAAAATTCCAAAGACGAACGACTCGATTGTGTCATTCTTTTGAGTATCATAAACGAAGAGCAACCTTTGGATTGGCGATGTTGAGGAATCTAAGCTCGCTTTCCTCTCCGTTCAGCATGATGAAAACAGATTGCTCGCTTGGTACGTCTGAAACAAAAAGATAAACGACGATGTACAAAAGCGATTCAAAGAGGGCCAACGCGAGGATGATAGAAGAGGGATGAGAAGGTGCCCCCTTTGATTTGCTGCCTCATTTATTTTTCCTTGGTCCATGCCCCTCGTGGACGGCGTATCCACGAAGGACGTAGGTATACGCGGGTAGAAGGAAACACACGCCGGAAAGGAAAATAATCGAATCGAACCTGGTTGCCGTAAATAAACTACAGCCGCGGACGAAGGGAGACGAATTCGTTACAGTGACGGCCACGTGACGTCGTCGTGCACCACGTAATCTTCGGGGTCTAAATGCGTCCACGTCGACGTTCACTCGTCAACAACTATTCCGGAACGTCGTCGACTTCCGGGGCTTGTGTCGATACCGTAATTCGATGATGTCACCCGTTCCCCGGTACGCTCGATTTCCGGATACGATCGACACAACTTCCTCTTACGTTTCTATCGAGCCCTTTCAGAAGACTACCTATTTCCCTGGCATTCTTTACGTTTTACTTTCTACTCGTCCAATCCGCCTTTTCTTTTGTTTCACTTTCCTGTATCGTTGACCTAAGTCTTATCTACGCTATTTATTTAACACTTATTTATTATATTTGCAGGACTTTCATCTTGGGAGCGTGATAAAACTTTGAGGAAGAGAAAATCAGGGACACTCTGGCAATTAACACTTTTAGATCATAATAAAACCTGAAGAGAAGAAAAAGAGTTAACCGTGAAAAACAGGCGAAGATTTACGCCGTGAAACGTTAAGAGGCGTCGAATGAAAGGGCTGAAAAAGGGCGCGGATGGAGAATGAAGAAACTATGGAGGACGAGAAAGAAGAGAGTAGACGATGAACAGACGCGCAGCCTGTATGATGTACGTTTATAGCACGGACCGACGCAAAATTAACCGGGGCTATTTCTGCCCGGCTGTTCCTGCACTTTTCTTTTTTACACCTTCCTGGAAATCGGCGCGCTCGTTTCGTCCGCCTTTCCACTGGTTCACCTCGCGATTTTCCATCGTGCGTCTGAAAAACCTCACCGTACGACCCCCTTTCCGCTTTTGTTTTCTTTCGAACACCGCCGCGGCTCGTCGTTTCTTGGCCTCGGTCCCGATTTCCCGGCAAAATTATCGCGCGAAACTTGACATCGGCCCCGATCTTCGTTCCGTTCGCGGAAAATAGATCGCCGGAGATAACTGATAACGCCGAGGAACGATCAACGGTTTCAGTCTCCCTTCGTGGTCGTTGCAAAAGGATGATAATTGAAACACCAAATCGAATCGTACGACTTAACTTGTCTCGCTTCGTAATTAAATACCTCGCCAAGGAACATCGCTCTTTGTAAAACGCAATCCTCGAACGTCGTTTCGAATATTCGCAACGAGTCGAATTTGCATCTTCGCGAAGGCTTTATCATTCCGGAAATTTCACCGTGACAAAGAATGCAATTACTCGGCTAAAGAAGCGGGAATAAATTTGCGAATCTCTTTTCAAGTCGCGTCGCGCAACGCGTTCAAACTTTCAATAGACGAGGAAAATTTTTAAGCGCGATTCGATACCGTGCAAGTATCTTTTCACAAAGCAGCCAGCCTGACTGAGACACCCGAATGATCGAGAGGAGGGAATTGTTGATTGAGACTCGAGCTGCTCTTGAAACTTATAATCGGGAAAGTGGATCGGTGGCAATTTTCCTGGAAAACTTGGCTAGACTCGGTTAAAGTAAATTGGAAGTTCGGTTCAAATTTATTTACGTTCCAACTGATAGGGTGTTGGTCTAGTTCCAAACGAGACTCCTGTCGAACCATCCTCAAAGTCTGATAATTACGCGAGTTTGTTAAAACGAAGAGGTGTTGAAACTAGAACCGAAGACTACCCGCTGCTTCATAAATATACTGCTCACAAAGTTGCAGCGGTATTTTAATTGAACTCGGTTGGGTTCAAGATGATTCAGAAGCATTATTCATGATTCTAATCATTGTGTTCGTAACTCGTTGAAGAATTTCTGCAAATCGAGGGAAAATTTTGATAGAAGCTAATGATGCGTTAAATAATCGTGTAGAAATTAAAATGTTTAATTATAAAGCTACTTACCGACTAGTGTAATCAATTCTGCTGTACATTAACTAGGTAAAAAGTTAACTAGATACACGTTAAATCGATTCTGGCTCGTTCGGAGATAACCTGAGGGGTCATCGCGCTATTACCTGTCTATTATGCACATGCAGCGCACCATAATCCGCGAGCATGCACGATTTGCTGCACCAACGAGGAGATTAAAGCGAAACCACGGTCAGAGTATCGTTCGCATAAACTGTATCCCGTTATAATTTGTTTAGAAGCGATGACCCATCACATAATTGATAGAGAGGGTGAACAACGTTAACAATTTCGTTTCATTAATTCATTTTAAATCACATCTAAAGTATTTAACAATATACGCTTTGGCTGTGAATTTTGAACTGAAACACTGAGATCATCCCCTAAAAAGATGAAAATAAAATGGAATTTCCAAAAAAGAACGAATGTTCACGCAAAGCTACATCGAGTTTATCGAACTGAAGAGTTTTCGGATTTCCAGCTCGATTTCAAAGCTTCAAAGTTACACTGTACACACATAAAGTTCACAGTTTATGCGAGTTGGAAAAAAAAGGAATCCTCTCTCTGTTGCAACTACACGTGGATGTTCTATCTTAAAAATATTCTTGAAATGTTGTATAAATATCAACAGCGGTGCAATTGATCTAATCTGCTTAATCGAATTTTCAATGAAAATTTTCCATTTTTACAATTTTTATAAAATATCTATTTTCTTTGCAATGAAAATTGACTTTCAAAAATTTAAACCCATTTTATAATCTACATTCCTCGTAATCTGTTAACAGTTTCGGAGTAATCCAGTTAGTCTGAAATGCAATTGCAAATTTTTTAACGAGGTTTCGAGACTTCGCCTAACACCTTTAACTGCATTATCCTGCAGAATATTCCGCGACGTGCTGACGCCAGGATCCGCGAGAACCATGGCCAAAATCGTAACCATTTTTCGGATCTAGGACGCTCGTACAACCACGATTTATTCTCGACGATGGTTTTTCTTACTTGGCAAAGAATTGATACTCCGCATTCAATGTGTGGAAACGTGAATCGTCATCCAACTTTTAAATTCTTATTGTACCATATCACGCATTCCAACTACGTTTCAAGTACACTTTTGTCCAGCTAAATGTTTAACAGTGGAATCACGAATATAAAATGATTGATTTATTCAGAATATTATCAGCAATGATAATTCTGTGGATGATAAAACTTTCAAGATGTCTCTTTGAATAATAAAACTTTCTTTAATGGAAAATAAAAATTCAAAACTGCAGAGGATGTTTAATTAAACAGGGTGAAAAACAAGAACGACCCGTCGGAATTTCTCGAAAAAAAGTCAGATAATTTATCCAGACAGAAATGAATCCTCCGAGATTTCTCTGAGTTTGATGTTCAGAAAATTGCAACAGGAAAAGAACCCCAACAGCGAGAGTTTTTTGTAAACGGTGAGGAAAAAGGAAATATATAAATGTTCTCGCAAGTATAGCATCTTGACCTATATTTTTTAAAAACTGTCCGGATCCATCAGCGTTAAGATCTGAAAATAAATAAATCGAAAGTCTTTTGAAAAAAAAAAAAAAGAAAACACGAACACGAGAATAGTTCGAATGAATTTGTTCAGTCGAAGAATTTATAAAATAAATGAAATTATATGATAAAAACGATTCTCGAATATTTCTCCGCAAAAGGATCTCCATAAAGACAGAACGAAAACATGAAAAATCTGGGAAAACCAATATGCGAACAAAAACCATGTTCACCAGAGACAGAAAGGTCAGAAGTTCATCGGTGGATGAAGTGATCGAAGTCAGCAAGTTCGAAACTTCGTGTTGAGGATAATTAAGACGACGATGAAACGAAAGATCCCGAGGACGGTTTATAAGATTCAGAACGGTTTTTGACCTACATCCTTTCGGAAACTTCTAAGAAACTGTTCACTATAAATATCCAGCGTGAATACGAGCGGAACGTCAGGAAACAACCGCGAGCAACCAATCTAACGATAACGTCGTTTTCTTGAAATACTCGGTGGCATCTCTTACGTGATCCTAACGAAAGCTTGAGTCAGTTTTACCTGGTGAAAAGGTACAAGCTGACCTGACAATGTCACCACGATATTTCACGTGGGTGAGACAGTTCCTCGACCTAGATACCTGCAGGTTCTCTACAGGATGTTTCATTAAAGTCGTTCTATACATTCTCTGAGGTACCATGTGTTAAATAGCCAAATAATTTTTCAAGGAGAATTGTTTTCTTTTCGGACTCTTCATTTATTGTTTTTCTGATTTAAGGATATAATAATCCTTTCCATCGATTTTCACATTTATCGATCTGACCATTCTTACGCTTGAATATCCCTGGCCTGGTTGTTTGTACAACCCTCCTCTATCTCACTGTCGGTACATGTCACGCCATTTAGGTGAATATGCTTTGAAGTTTACGCGGACGAACATATTCATGCCGGAACATCATCCTGCTGATGCATAATCCCCGCGAGGCGAAAGCCATTTGTATGGATATTAGATTTAGGGTGCATTTTTCGCTTGAAATTTAGCAGACCGGTGGAAAAGTTGGAAGTTAACAAGTTTATTCGTGGTAGGGTTGAATTCTTCAATGGAATTCATGAAAATACCTGTGAAATACAAATTTTCTTAATTTTCTTTGTTATTCCTGTTTGAACTTCACAAGTTTTTGTTTCGAATTTCTCATTTTTGGGGCAGACGCTTAATTTTCAATATAAAAAGAATCTTCTCTGAATAAAATCAGACAGGAGATTTCCTAGATTACGTTGCTGAATTAATTGGCGGTTCTTTGAAACAACTCGTCACGAAATGAATGCACGGACATCGGCCGGAAAATTCGTAATTCCTATTTTCAGCGGGGAATGTAATTACCTGAGCTTTCGTTGCGACACACGGATATTTCCGTGGTGGAAACGCGGAGCTGCAAGTGGCCGGTGGCCGCTATGAAATAACGTAGAAGAGAGAGTGCATCATGACGTGGAGCATCGACGTCGTTGCCAGCACTCAGGCGAAATAAATTTTGATGATTCACCGAAAGTAGCATCGCTCGATTCGATGACTGGCCTCTCCAGTGACCACGAACGACTTTCTCAAAAACACGTCGAGTTACTTTGCGATTAAAGAAAAAATAGAAAGATTACTAATTTATTTGGCAATCTTAGTTTCTTCTCGAAATTCTATTTTCTCCTCGTTTTGCAACAATTACGAAAGTACCGACTTATAGTTCGACTTGAAATTTATGTAACGCGTTGAAAATGTATTATTTCATAAACAGAACCTGCCAAGTGTTTCTGATAGTTTCAGTTGTCAAAAAAAAAGGGAAAGAACAAGATTGTACATAGTATTAGTAGTAAATATTCGCTGATTGTATCCTAACGACCCAGTCGCATGCGGTCGCTCGATTCTTCATTCGTTAGGCTCGTTTCATAAGGAAAGGCACAGACAGAAGTAGATTCTGAAAGCAAGTATTTCGTGCATTGTACCCGGAATATCCGCGGCAGCATTGAACGAAACGAGGAAAGAGGGTCGCCAAGAATCAGGGACAATCGGTGGAAAGCCGGAAACCGAGGAGCCTTTGCTTCTTTAATTCCCGCGAGATTTAGTTCACCGGTATCGTTCGACGATTTATGTACGACCTTTCGCTTTATTAACCGAACGTATTTCATTCGTCTTGTTGCAGACGGAGATCCAACATGCCAATATCCGTTTGACGTCTTCTTCTCGAACAGACGTCCACGATAAAACGGATCCTTACCATCGAACCGATCCTTCCTCGAGGGATCAACCTGTCTCGGCCATCGATTTCTTTTATTCCACTGTTCATTTGATCGTGTCGAATCACTTCGACGGGGAGGTTAATCTTTTCCGTAGACGTCTTTAACCCCGTAGACAGACGAAGGAGGCGGTTAAGTCAACTGTCTGAAATACTTGACTCGGCTGACGCGTTTCAAGTCTTTAGTTTATTCATTTTACTTTGTATATTCTTCTTTTAGGATATTGCCGCGGCTGGGATCCGTCAACCGATTTTTCGCCGATAACTTTTCCCAGCCGCATTTTCTCAATAACAATTCCCGTGAACTTTTATAGAGGAACGTTTAATTTACGACAACGTTCTTTACACAAAAGTATGTAATTATAGTATCGAGGTGTTTTTCACGATTTCTTAGGTGTCGTATATTCGGAAGGATATCTTAAATTGCTATTGAACTTTTTCAAGGAAGTCTCGAAGGCAGAACTTTCTCTTTAATTCATCTTTGAATCAATGAAAATCTTTAGGAAGATTTAAAAAATTACAGATTAACATTAGAAATCTTCAAGTGCAAATTTTACTGATAAAATTACAAACAATCCTATATGTTTCCTCTCTTTTCTTTCATCATCGTTGATCTCTCGCTTTCATTGACGCAATTCGTTTCACTTTCGTCAACTTGCAGAGATGTTTTTAGCATATCGCTCGTTGAACACAGTTTGCATATTTCACACGAAGCAGCAATAAAGTCTCGCGAAACACGGTGTTACTTACCTCTCTGTCTGTCGTATGCGTTTATACATTCGCTGGTCATAAATTGGCTGATCAGGGCGGTCTTTCCGACACCCCTTGCGCCCAGCATCGCGACGGTGTACGATGATACCTCTTTCGGGGGTGCAGAACGATTCTCTTCGTTTTCTGGATCAGCAGGTGCCAAAGAGTTCGACCTTGATCTTCTTCTTCTGAAAGAATCGCCTCTGTTGACGACACCTGTAACAGAGAAAAGATAAATTGATCAGATTCGATTGCAGCGTTAACGCGAGAGCCACTGAAAAAATTTCCTTCCTTTTTTAATTTCAAACGAAAGTCCTATTTCTGGAAATTAAACACAGAATGTATAAATAATTCGAAAGTACCTTGTTTACATTCAAAGTCTGAAATAGCATTAAATATTCATGAGGTTATTGGTTTATCGAGCGAAACGAAATTCGTTCTTCCGTTTATTTGTAAATAAATGAAATGAAAAAATACATGGTTTACCGACGCGGTTTTTTGGGTCACGGCCATTTGCTCGCGTCCGGCTCGATGCTGCGAAGAAAATTCAAGGAAACAGACACAATTCGACGGTGAAATGAAAAAGAAAAAAAAAAAAGAAAATATCACGCGCACGAGCGCGCGCGGTTTTCTTTCGTTTCTAATTTCAATCAACCATTTCGTTCCACTTCGTTATCTTTAACGCGTGCATAACTTTAGAAAAATTTCCTCGTGAACTCGTTATCGAGGAACGTGGTCCAGAGGATATTAATTACGTAGCAATCTGCTCCAGCAACGGATCTGGGCTCTCATTAAAGTATACACATTTCACGGGGAAATGGTACCGTTAATCCAACCCCGATAGTTATACCCTAGTTAGGCTGAATTCACAAGCTCGATCGTGATAGCTGGTTATTGAGAACACGACTTTACGTTGGCGAACATACGTACGATTTTAGAGTACGAACTTTCGAAACAGAGAAGTAGGTTGAATCTCTAAATTGAATACCGATTCCTGTTGTTTTACCCTTTGACTACAACTGTGGAAACAATGGTTAAATCAATGCCTGGAATTGCAAACAGCAAGTTAAAGTTTTCAATTAACAAAATTAATTATTAATCGTTTATTTTTCAGAAGGAAAATTGGAAGAGAAGAAAAAAGGCACATAGAATATTTCGACTGAAGAGGATAGAATTATGTTAACACCGAAGGTTCTCTCAGGATCACATGTAATTTTAATAGCTATGCTCTCAAGTACTTAGTAAAATCATTTACAGTTTGATAAGCAACATTATCCTCCATAAAATAGATAACAGTGCCCGTGAGATTTATGCGTCACCCAGATACGGCTGACATGTTGTTGAAATTATTGATACATACTACTGCCGTAGTGAAAAAGGTCGAATATGGTGCGGCGCGCTTCAATAAAAATTATTAAGGACACCGTTACTTCAATTTATTGAGAATAGATTGAAAAATTTGTAGAAAATAATGGCACAATTCAGCTGGTAACTAATTAACAAGCTTATCTTAAGCTCTACTTAAATCTGAAGAAGGCTTTACTGTAGATACGCTTTAATACAGTTCCCTTCAACTTCCCGCGAAAATCCCCCATGCTTGGACGTCTGTTTGCGGAGGAATCATCTTCTAAATGGCAGCGGGTTAAGCGTTAATGGATTCTCAAAAGCGAAGCCATCGACATCAGGTGTAATCCAGCGACGAATCGAGCCACAGCAGGAAGTAACCGCGTTAGAAAGGTAACAAGTAAAACGCTTTGCTAATGCATTTACAATTTATCTATGAAATTTTTTGCGAAACGAGCACGTAAAACGGTATCCTGCAAACTAGTTGAAAATGATAGAGCAGATGTAACGCAACAGATGCGAAGCATTAATGGAAACTCGATAAACTTGAAGCATTTCACGTGGAGGGTGTTGGTGTCCACGACACGTAGCGAACAACAGGTGCCCTGTTTAGCTACTAAAAACACCCGATATCCGTCCGTCTGTCCAGCTGTTGGTCGGCTTTGTCCTGCACGCCTCGTTCGTGGAAAACTCAAACAGACGTGCGCTACTTACGGGCATCCTCGAACCGACGTGACTCGCAACATCGATCCAACAAGAACAATTCAACAGAGTATACTTGAGGACAATCCGATTTCCGGCCTGATTTTCGTCGGGATACAATGACACCTCGTTAGAGGCAGGTGATTAGTAGATTGTTAGAAAATTTATTTATACGTACACGATTTTTTATTTTCAGCTCTGAAAGTTACAACTTTCATTTCTCTCGACTCAGCGATAGCTATTTTCAACTTTGATTATTTTTAATTTTGATAATTTGCAATTATTGTTCTCTACTATAACTATACTCAGCAATGGCTATTTTCAATTTTGATAATTTACATTATCACTGCTCTCAACTCTGACTATACTCAGCGATGGCTATTTTCAACTTTGACTGTTTTCAACTATGAGAATTCCCAGTGTTGACTATTCTCAATTTTGATAATTTATAATTATCACTGCTGTCAACTCTGACTATACTCAACGATAGCTATTTTCAATTTTGATTATTTTTAATTTTGATAATTTACAATTATTACTACTTTCAACTCTGACTATACTCAGCGATGGCTATTTTCAACTTTGACTGTTTTCAACTATGAATATCCCCAGCATTGACTATTCTCAATTTTGATAATTTACAGTTATCACTGCTCTCAACTCTGTCTATTTTCAACTTTGATTGCCCTCAACTCTAAGAGCTCCCAAGTCTGAACACCTTCACCTTTGACTATTCCCAACTCTATTTCCAACCATGACTATTTCCACCCCTCTGCCCCGGCGTCTAAAATATTAAAACCGTGTTGTTGTTGTCCGTAACGAATGAAGTCGAAAATATCTAATGGAAAGCCTGAGTCGAATTTTCCACGAAATCTCGGGAAACGAACGATTCGATTAGCACGAGCAACTGCGCTTCCATAAACAAGTTACAGGTGTACGGACTTGGCGATCGAATAGGTGAGGCAGCATCTATTAATAAAAGTTTAAACATCGAACGATCCAAGAAGCTTGCCAAATTGTTTCAAACATACGTACGCTATCGTTCGTAAGTCACAGAACACCTGAGTCGAATGGGAAAGAAAAACAAAATAAATAAGATGATCTATCGCGACGATCCAAACAAGATAATTCTTCATCAACTTTGTAAATAAATTTTCTATCTTCATTTCTTTTAATCACATTCATTCGACTATTATGGATGATCATTTAATAATTTCAAGTTAATACTTTAATACTTCTCTAACGCCCTGTACAACCCCTTTGTACACGCGAAATTCGCATTCGCAACGACAGGATCGAGTTGCTACGAAACAGAGCTTCAACCTTCCTCACCCCCGTAACCGGTTAAATGGATGACGTCGCCGTGACGAACAAAGCAAGAGGTGGAAAGACGAGATATGTAAATTAATAATAAAGGCGTTTGCGCCATGGAGGAGGGTGATATTTCGCGAGACACACGGTGGATTGCTCGTTGTAAAGCCGGATGGGATTTCTCGCGTTGAATTTGAAAGTAAATACGCCCCCATAAACGCGATTCATAGGGTTGGAAGGAATGTTTATACGTGGAAGGGTAGTCCAGCATTTTGCACCCTATTGTGCGGCGCAGGATTCTCAATATCGAACGGTATTTCTTTCCTTCTTTTTTCTTTTTTCTTTTTTTTTTTTTTCGTTCGAAGGCTTCTGCATCATTTCTGACGACATGCTATATTTTCTCGAGGGGAGGGATGAAAAATGAGAGGTTCAGAAACCTTTTCAGAAGTGGATACATTTTGGGTAGGAAGAATGACTCGACTCATTTGTTATAGCTGTCTCTATCGGAAAATACTTTCATTTATTTACCTGAAAACCGTGTAAGTTTATATAAACAAATGGACAGATTATTAAGCTGTTAACTTATGTAAAGTCTAACACATTTTCATGACATAAAAGTATCATCAAATAGCAGTCGTGATGTGTCAATTTAGAGCTTAAAGTCTTATGAAAATAACTACATAAACCTTTCATTAATATTCCTAATACAAAATGGCTGGTTGCCAGTTACGTCTAGCAATGACCCCTTTGGAATCTTGTAATATCTGACATACTTTTATGACATAAAAGTATCACAAAATAATACTTGTGATATATAAATTTAAAGCTTTAAGTATAATGAAAATGACTACGTAAACGCTTAATCAATATTCCAAATAGAAAATGGTTAATTAAGTTGATACATCATAAGTGCCATTTTACAATACTTTGTTGACATCGAATCGTATCAAAACACGAGAATCGTGCAAGATGATGAACGTAAATAAATTTCCAGTCGAAACTCATCGTTCCTATTGCATCCTGTGTAAATTACGTGTCGGTGGTCCATCGAAATCATACGCGATCGTGGATTCCATGGTCGAAATATTGGTCGAATTTTGGCTTGTAACGCCAATTGTCGAACAAACTGTGCTCCGTAAAGTTTTACGATTTTCCGTGTCCCGTTTTATCCAAACGCAACGTGACGATCGGTTTCCCAGCGAGAAAGAAAATGTCGCGCAGTTGTTCGCAAATAAATGCTTTTCACCCTGACGTACATTCGTCACGATTTCACCCACGAGAACGATCGAGGCGGAAATCCATGATCAATTTTCCTCTTCGAATAAGAAACGAATTTTTTATTCCTCGATAAAATTTCTCGATACATATTATTTAATTTTACAATAAACATAGATGCAGTAAAGAGAGATGAAAACTGAACGTTCCTTTGAAATATCTCTTTGCAAAATTCTTCTTTTCAGATCTTTTTATTGACATTTCATTTCGTGGTTCTGAATTCCAGATCCAATGCCATCAACAGTTTATGTACGCGATGTTCGTAAACGTTGGAGACAGTTTTATAGAGCGTATTTTACAAGGCGAAAGAGCGAACTGAATTTTTCTTCCCACATAAGGTAATTCCCAGTGCAGCAAATAACTTCTTCCCCGGGCTAGTGTTATTATCCTCACAAGAGACGCCAAGCTTCCCTTTGTTTCTCCCGGAAAGTAGTTTCCTCCGTTCTTCGGAAAAATCATTTCATCCATTGAACTTTTCCATTTTCAATCGTACGAAAAGTTCAAGTTTATGCACGCGGAACGAAACGGTCGAACGGTAACCCGATAAAAAGATCCGTACGATTTCGTTATTTGCTTTTCTTTTT